CATCTATCTATCTATCTATCTATCATCTATCTATCTATCATCTATCATCTATCTATCTGTCTATCTATCATCTATCTATCTATCATCTATCATCTATCTATCTATAATCTATCATCTATCTATCGTCTATCTATCATCTATCTATCATCTATCTATCTATCTATCATCTATCTATCTATCATCTATCTATCTGTCTATCTATCATCTATCTATCTATCTATCATCTATCTTATCTATCATCTATCAATTATCTATCTATCTATCATCTATCTATCATCTATTTATCTATCATATATCTATCAATTATCTATCTATCTATCATCTATCTATCTATCATCTATCTATGTATCTATCTATCTATCTATCTATCATCTATCTATCATCTATTATCTATCTATCATTCGTCTATCTATCATCTATCTTATCTATCATCTATCATCTATCTATCTATCATCTATCTATCTATCATCTATCTATCATATATCTATCTATCATCTATCTATTATCTATCTATCATCTATCTATTGTCTATCTATCTATCATTTATCTATCTATCTATCATCTGTCTATCTATCATCTATTTTCCTATCAATAATCTACCTATCTCTCTATCTTTTGTCTATCTCTCTTTTTCTATCTTTATAGAAATGTGTTGCATTCTTTTAAATGGAATGTAGTAAAGCAATAAAGAGTAAGTAAACGAGGTCAGTGGAAAATGTCCTATTTTGTCAGGAAGCATTGATTCAAGCCCTACTTTGGATTTGGAAAGTTAACTGTGGCTTGATTAACCTGTTCTAAGATCCCAGCTCATTACGTGAAGCTGCAGAGATAGGGCCAGGAAACGTTTTTCAGTTCATCCTAGAACATTTGTACTCACTGCCAGTTAAGAGAGTGAACCGATGATAAGGGCATCTGGCCATTTCCAACAGCACCACGGATTGGTTTACATTTCTCTTTGTAAGTGGATAAACCATGAATTTCTCCCCAGAATTACCTTCTAACTTGATTTGCCTCCTTTTCCATCATTCTGTCATTTTTTGGTTGGCAAAAACCAATGATCTCAAATAAACAAATAGATGGAATTTTGTCACCAAAAGTTCTAATTATGAGACCTAAGGTAAATACGACAACAGAAAAAGACCGCTAGAACCACACCAACATCTTTGCTGCCATCAAGACCCAGCATCCAACGTTACAATTAGCGAGAAACGTTTTGTAGAGAAAAGGAGTATCTGAATAGTCTCAAATAATATCCCCCCAAGTATTTCTCAATTGCAGAGGAACAGACAGTGCTTGTGGTCATTTTCTCTTGCCACGGGGCAAATGACCACACACTCTGTAGCTTGACACCACGTCTGTGGGCTGGGAGTACAGAAGAGCATCCTGCTCAGAGTCCTACAGGCTGAAATCAGGAGGACCACAGGCTGTGTTCTCATTTCCAGCTGTGGGTTCCCTTCCAAGCTTCAGGTTGTTGGCAGAACCAGTTCCGGTGCTGCAGAATGGAGGCCCCACGTGTTCACAGGCTGCCACCCTGCGCCTTCTCAGCTCCTGGCCGCTGTTCCCCATTCCCTGCCACGGGACCTCCTCTGCTACATGCGGCTGTTCCTTCAGGATGGCAGGAGAATCTCCCTCACTTCCACTTCCTCCACCCGTTTTGAGGTCTTTCAATAGTTCAGGCCCACTCAGGAGAATCTCTCTTTGGTTAACCCAGAGTCAACTGCCCAGGAACTCTAATCAAACCTGTAAAAATCCCTTCTGCAGTATAACCGCACAATCACAGGAACTCTCTGTTTCAGTTGTTAAGTCTAAAATTATTCCAGAATAAAATGTTTTTAAACAATCAGCCATCTTCCATGGCAGTTGGTTAAGTTGAGAGATGTAGTAATTTAGAGATAAATATTCCTGCTATGGTGGTGTGAGTGCTTACAGAAGAGTGAATTTATCACTTGTTCTTTTAGGAAATGACAGGAACCTTAGGTGACGTCAGGTTTAGAAAGGACGTGGCCACAAGCATTAGGAATTAACAGGCAATCCATGCCTAAGATGGAGGGGGGAGATCACAGACATTAAGCATCTAGAATAGACCAAGTATTTCCATGCTAGGCCCGTCTATGCCCATTAGCTTAGGGGACAACTATAATACCTGTTTTACTGATTAGAAAATAATTAAGGCTCTATGTTCATCATGGATATTGGCCTGAAGTTTTCTTTTCTTGTTGGGTCTCTGCCGGGTTTTGGTATCAGAATGATGTTGGTCTCGTAAAATGATTTGGGAAGGATTCCCTCTTTTTGGATTGTTTGAAATAGTTTTAGAAGGAATGGTACCAGCTCCTCTTTGTGTGTCTGGTAGAATTCGGCTGTGAACTCATCTGGACCTGGGCTTTTTTTGTGTGGTAGGCTCTTAATTGCTGCCTTGACTTCTGACCTTGTTATTGGTCTATTCATAGTTTCAGCTTCCTCCTGGTTTAGGCTTAGGAGGACACAGGAGTCCAGGAATTTATCCATTTCTTCCAGGTTTATGTGCATAGAGTTGTTTGTAATATTCTCTGATGATGGTTTGAATTTCTGTGGAATCTGTGGTGATTTCCCCTTTATCATTTTTTATTGCATCTATTTGGTTGTTCTCTCTTTTCTTTTTATCAATTTGGCTAGTGGTCTGTCTATTTTGTTGATCTTTTCAAAAAACCAGCTCTTGGATTTATTGATGTTTTGAAGGGTTTTTCGTGTCTCAATCTCCTTCAGTTCAGCTCTGATCTTAGTTATTTCTTGTCTTCTGTTGGGTTTTGAGTTTTTTTGATCTTGCTCCTCTAGCTCTTTCAATCATTGCAGCACTGTTTACAATAGCAAAGACCTGGAATCAACCCAAATGCCCATTGATAATAGACTGGATTGGAAAAATGTGGCACATATACACCATGGAATATTATGCAGCAATCAGAAATGATAAGTTTGTGTCGTTTGTAGGGACATGAATGAATCTGGAGAACGTCATCCTCAGCAAACTGACACAAGAACAGAAAATGAAACACCGCATATTCTCACTCATAGGCGGGTGATGAAAAATGAGAACACATGGACACATGGAGGGGAGTACTAAACACTGGGGTCTATTGGGGGGAAAAGGGGAGGGCCAGTGGGAGGGGGAGGTGGGGAGGGATAGCCTGGGGAGAAATGCCAAATGTGGGTGAAGGGGAGAAGCAAAGCAAAGCACACTGCCATGTGTGTACCTACGCAACTGTCTTGCATGCTCTGCTCATGTACCCCAAAACCTAAAATCCAATAAAAAATTAAAAAAAAAAAAAAGAAAATAATTAAGGCTCAGAATTATAAAGGACATACAGCAGTAAGCCCAAAACTTGAACAGAGGTGATTTTAAAAGGTTTCTTTCTTATACGTTATGTATGTATGTTATCATCAACATCTCAACAGACGGATAAAAGTAAAATAATACTGGAAAAGATACAGAGAAAGCAATGAGCAGAGTGTCCCGCTTATTCAAGTGCAGAGCTGAGCAGCAGCTGGTGTTGAGCAAGGGAAGGGAGGTGGTCTGAGGGCGTAGAAAACTCAAGCACTATTCAGGAAACCATCATTTTGAAGCAAGTAAACCAGCCGACAGGGCAGGACAAAGACAGCGCCACAGCCCTGTTCAGTTCTGAATTCGGGCAAGATGGCGGGTGCTGGAAGACCAGGATCCACTGCTGGGAAGAACACCTGCGGGGAGCAAGGTAGGACTGCTGGATTTCCTGCCCAAGGAAGACTCCAACAGGGGCAGCTGAACAGATATGGCATCCGGGAAGAGTTCAGGGGAACTCTGGCAGCACCTCCTCTCTGGACTGAGCCAGCGCTGGAGATGGGCAGGAAATCGGGAGCAGAGATGATTCGTGGCCTGATTCTGTCCTCACGGCACAGAGGCGTTAGCTGTGGTCAGCAGCATAGACCAGTGGGGCTGTCTTAGTGAGAGGACAGTGGGGGAAGCTTCCTGCTTCTCTCAGGGCTTGCATAGAACCGAGCTTATGGTAGCAAATACCAGCAAAACAAACTCTGATGAGCAGAGGAAACTGAGGCTGAGGAAAGGTGCTGCAATGTTCACCAAGGAAGAGTCATGCCAAACTGACTTCTTTTACTGGTTCGATGTGGGTACTGAATTCCAGACACTGATCAACAGTGTATCTGGCGTCAGCAAGGCCTTTGACTAAGTCCACCTTGATTCATTCATTTTGGTGTTTGCAGAGGGCTGTGGAGGAATATGAGTACGACTATATGAATGAACAGAATATTGCCAATCAACTGGTTATCAGTGTCCAGCAGAGTGTCAGAAGCTTGCATTCTTCGTTCGGTCCTAGCTACTCTTCTCCCCAGTGACACAATCCACACAGACAATTTCTAGGGTGGCATACCTTCACTAAGAGCCAGGATGCAATTCAGCTCTCAACAGAGGACTGTGACTAGCTGTTTGCACAGGAGGAGGCAAGACAAAATGAGACCCGGACCTGCGTCACGGGGAAGGCACAGTCAGAAGAGAATAGATTGGTGCTCACTCTCCTGCCTGGCAGTGGGACTTCTGTGTGGATTTTTAATCAGGTCTATTTTTCTTATCCTTATTTCAGAAGCCTTTTTAAGAATCTTAGTGTATTTATAAAAGTTTCGGTAATGTTCTCCCTTAAAATACTGAGACGATCTACCTATAAACTGTGCTTTTTCATCAGAGAATGCTGGCAACAAATGTTTCATGTAGAGACCAGAGAGTTTTTTCTTTTGCTATTATTGGTTTCTCATTATAATGGGAAAAAAGCAAGACCTATTTTATCTTTCACCTCTTTTTCTGTCTTTAACATCTTTAATTATTTTAAACACTCTGTCTTTAATTCATAAGGAGGGGGTGAAATCCACCTTAATGTACCACCAGGATCAGGAGTTTACCACTTTATTTAATCAACAACCAATTTTCTTATCTTGACTCTCTGCCACTTAGAATCTTTTCTTTTCTTTCTTTTTTGAAGAGATGGGGGTCTCACTCTGTCACCCAGGCTGGAGCACAGCGGAACAATCATAGTGCACTGCAGCCTTCAACTCCTGAACTCAAGTGATCCTCCTGCCTCAGCTTCCTGAGTAGCTGGGACTATAGGTATGTGCCACCATATCCGGCCAATATTTAAAAATTTTTAAGAGATGGGGGTCTCACTATGTTTCCCTGGCTCATCTCAAACTTCTGGGCTTAAGCAGTCCTCCTACCCTGGCCTCCCAAAGGGCTGGGATTACAGGTGTGAGCCATCACACCCAGCCTATACACTTTTTTAAACAACAGTTTCATTGAGGTACAATTCACATACCACACAGTTGCCTGTTTAAAAAGTACAATTTGTTCTTCCTATCCGTGAGCATGGAATGTTTTTCCATCTGTTTGTGTCCTCTCTTATTCCTTGAGCAGTGCTTTGTGGTTCTCCTTGAAGAGGTCCTTCATGTCCCTTGTAAGTTGTATTTCTATCCTACGTATTTTATTCTCTCTGTAGCCATTGTGAATGGGAGTTCACTCATGATTTGGCTCTCCACTTGTCTATTGGTGGTGTATAGGAATGCTTGTGATTTTTGCATGTTGATTTTTGTATCCTGAGATTGCTTATCAGATTAAGGAGTTTTGGGGCTGAGATGATGGGGTTTTCTAAATATACCCTCAGGTCATCTGCAAACAGAGACAATTTGACTTTCTCTGTTCCTATTCGAATACCCTTTCTTTCTTTCTCTTGTCTGATTGCCCTGGCCAGAACCTGATACATGTGGGCTTACAACCAAGATGATGGGTTGATGGGTGCAGCAAACCACCATGGCACATGTATACTTATATAACAAGCCTGCCTGCTCTGCACATGAATCCCAGAACTTAAAGTAAAAAATAAATTAGAAGAAAAAAAGTACAATTCATAGTTCTTAGTACATGCATAGAGTTGTGCATCCAGCATCACAAGCTTTTGAGAACATTTCATCATCCCCCAAAGAAGCCCTGTGCTCCGTAGCCATCTCCTTTTCCCCAGCCCCTCTATCTCCAGCAGTCCTAGGTGGCAACTAATCTACTTACTGTCTCAATAGACTTGCATATTCTGGGCATTTCCTATAAATGGAATCATTTTGTCTTTTATGATTAATTTTTTTTCATTTGGTGCAATGTTTGCAAGATGTGTCCATGACTCAGCATGTATTTGTCATTCATTCCTTTTTATTGATAAATAGTAGTTTATTTATAGATCTATCACATTTTGTTTACCCTTACATCCATGCGTTGACACGTGGGTTGTTGCCGCTTTTTGGCTGTAATGCGTAATGCCGCTTACATAACACTTATGTACAAGTTCTTGTGTGCACGTGTGTTTTTATTTTCTTCAGTTGTATACCTAGGCATTGACATGCTGAGTTGTTTAACATTTCAGGGAACTGCCGGCCTATTTTCTTAAGTGGCTCCACCATTTTACATTCCAGCCAGCAATGTATGAGGGCTCCAATTTCTCCATATTCTTGCCAACATTTGTTACTGCCTTTTTACAGTCATCTTTGTGGGTGTGAAATGATTTCTCACTGTGGTTTTTGTTTGCATTTTACTAATGACTAATGATCTTGACCATCTTCTCATGTGCTTATTGGACATTTACATATCTTATTTGGAGAAATGTCTATTCAGATCCTTTGCTCATTTAAAAAAATGGGTTATTTCTCTTTTTTATTGACTTATAGAAGTTTTTTAAAATATACTCTAGATACAAGGCCATTATGAAATACAATTTGTAAACATTTCCTCTGATTCTATAGATTGTCTTTTCATCTTTGATGGGTTTACTTTTAGGAACAAAGTTTAAATTTTTGATAGTTTCCAATTTATCTATCTTTTCTTTTGTTGCTTGTGTTTTTGGTGTCATATCAAAAAGAAAAATCATTGCCTAAATTCAAGGTCACTTACCATATATTTTAATATATTGCTTTTTCCTGACACTTTCACAGTTTTAGCTCTTACATTTAGCTTTTCGATCCTTTCAAGTTAGTTTTTGGTGTGAGGTAGGGGTCTAAATGTTTTATTCTTCTGCATGTGGGTAGTTGACTATCCTAGAATTTTTGTTGAAAAGGCCATTTTTTTCCTCCCTTTTAATTGTCTGGGCACCTTTGTTGAAAATCAATTAACTGTAAATATAGGGCTTATTACGGGGCTTTCTATTTTATTCCACTGGTCTATATGTCTAATTTCATGCCAGCCCCACATTGTCTTAATTACTGTAGCTTTCTAGTAAGTTTTGAAATTCGAAGCGTGAGTCATGCAAATTTGTTATTCATTTCCATCCAACATTATTTTGACTATTCGAGGTTCCTAGAATTTCCAGATGAATTTTGATTAGTTTGTCAATTTCTGCAACTAAGAAGTTGGATTGAAATTGCATTAAATATACCGATTAATTTGTCATCTTAACATTATGCGGTCTCTCAATCCATGAACGTCTTTCCATTTATTTAGATCTGCTTTAATTCCACTTTAATTCCTTCCTTCTTCCTTTCCTGTCTTGTCCTGTCCTGTCTCCTAGGCTAGAGTGTAGTGGCTCAATCTCGGCTCACTGCAACCTCCACCTCAAGTGATATTCCTGGGTTTAAGTGATACTCCTGCCTCAGCCTCCTGAGTAGCTGAGATTACAGGTGCCGGCCACCACACCCAGGTAATTTTTATACTTTTAACAGAGATGGAGTTCCACCGTGTTGGCCAGGCTGGTCTTGAACTCCTGACCTCGAGTGATCCACTGGCCTTGGTCTCCCAAAGTACTGGGATTACAGGCATGAGCCACTGTGCCTGGCCTGCTTCAATTTATTTCAATGATGTTTTTCAGTTTTCAGAGAATATGTATTGTACATTTTTTGAAAATTTATTCTTACCTGTTTTATTCTTGGTGTGACTTTAAATAGTTTATTTTTAGTTTTGCATTTGGCTTGTTCTTTGCTATTGTACAGAGATGCAATTGATTTGTGAATATTGGCCATGTAACCTGAAACCTTGTTGAACTTGTTTATTCTAACAGGTTTTTTTTAGATAATTTGGGACTTTATATATACGATATTATGTTGTTTGCATATAGAGATAATTTTACTTCTTCCTTTGTAATCTGGATGCTTTTCTTTCTTTTCGTGCCCAGTTTCCCTGGCTGAAGCCTCCAGTAAATGTTGTAGTATCAGGATTGAACATCTCTGTATTATTCCTCATATGAAAAGGAGAAAATGTAGTCTTTCATCATCAAGAGTGATTGTGAGTTTTCCATAGATGCCCTTTATCAGGTTGAGGAAATTTCCTTCTATTACTAGTTGGTTGAGCACAGCATTAAAATCTTAATGGAAAATGAACAACACATCAGTGTGTTTAAGCCTTACTCTCTATATTACATATTAATGGCTAAAGAATAATCCTAAACCGTTACATTTACTGCTGCGAAAGGTTGCCTCTCACCAAAAATCTGCAAGGCTATTAGAGAAAGACTAAGTCTAGAGAATCCAAGAAAAAGGGTGAAGAATTGCAGAGTCTGTGTGAGGAGACAGCACGAGCCGGGAGAGGCTAAGGACTGCTGGGTCCAGGATAGAAGAAGGAAGGGGAACCAGAACTGAGCTGGGGGGATCAAATGCTGAGAGCGTATGGTGACAAGGCCAAATCCAGTTCCCAACACATGCAGAGGGAGGGTGAATTCAGGCTCCTCTTAAGAGAACTGTCATCGCCTCCAACAAAACACTCACGTAGTGGTGGTTTCTCCTCATGAGTAATTCTGAGTGAGGGGATTAGCTTTGCAGGATACGCTGGGTAAACGTTCACTGTGCAGGGGTGGCTTAACTTGCTTTTTACTCTGACTTTTTCCCCCACCTTTTTGTGTGTGTGTGTTTTTTTTTAATTTTAATTGACAAATAATTATACATATTCACAGGGCACATAATGACGTTCTAATACAGAGGTACAGTGGCCATGGTAATGAGCACCTCCATCATCTCAAACATTCATCATTTCTTTGAGTTGAGAACATTCAGTATCCTACTTCCAGCTATTTGAAACTGTAATATACTACTGTTAACTGTAGTCATCCTACAGTGCAATAGAACAGCAAAACTGATTCCTTCCATCCAGCTGTTTTTTGTATACTTTCATAACTTTTTCCCTGTCCTCCCTTCCTCCTCCCCTTCCTAACCTCTAGTATCTTTTCTACTTTCTATTTCTATGAGATTAACTTTTTTTAGCTTCCACATATAAGTGAGAACATGCAGTGTTTAACTTTCTGTCCTTGGCTTATTCTAGTTAATGTAACGGCCTCCAGTTCCATCCATGCTGTCACAGTAATAAGATTCATCCTTTTTATGGCTGAATAGTATTCCATTGTGTGTATATATACAGATTTTTTACAATCTTTTAATCTGTTATTGGACAGCTATGTTGATTCCATATTTTGGCTGCTGTGAATAGTGCTGGAGTAAACATGGGTGACAGATGTCTCTTCGATACACTGATTTATTTTCCTTTGGATGAAGTTTTTTAAATAGCTTGCTGAGAAAAATTTGTTTTTTAAAAATTTTTGCAGTAAAGTTTTTCTTCTGTATCAGTTGCTTTGAAAGTTGAGCAACTGCCCAGGCATGGTGGCCCACGCCTATAATCCCGCACTTTGTGAGGCTGAGGCAGGTTGATCATTTGAGGTCAGGAGTTTGAGACCAGCCTGACCAACACAGTGAAACCCACTCTCTACGGAAAATTAGCTGGGCGTGGTGGTGTATGCCTATAATCCCAGTTATTTGGGAGGCTGAGGCAGGAGAATTGCTTGAACCTGGGAGGCGGAGATTGCAGTGAGCTGAGACCACGCCACTGCACTCTAGCCTAGGTGACAGAGTGAGACTTCATCTCAAAAAAAAAAAAAAAAAAAATTGAGCAAGTAAGAACAGAAGTGAATGAGCCAGATAAATCATTGGATAAGTCAAACCCATCACTGCTCCCGCTAGTTTAAAACAACAGAAAGAAAGCTTTGGGACAGCAGGGCCTGACGTGGCCAGGGTGAGGAACAAGAACTTTTTCAAGAGAAAGCCCAGCATCGGTGCTGATAGGAATTAATGAAGCTACAGGTTGTCAGATGTGAGATGAGGATGAAGCAGGTACAGATAGCCTTCAGCACTAAATATGGGGTTACAGAGCTTCCCAGCCAGCTTCAGCCCTTCCTCAGGGGTACACCTTTGCAGGCGTTGCAGGCACAGCTGAGCGCCCACTGGCTGGAACCGAGAAAGCATGATTCCTCAGTGTGTCCTGTGTCTGTACAGCCGTCTAGGAGGCCCTGTAACCGGGAGCAGGAAACGCGGGTCTTTCTGGGTAAAAGCTCAGGGTAGAAAACGATAAGTCATGTCTAGCAGATGAAACCTCAACAGCTATAAACCTCTTCCCTAATAAGGAAGAACCCAGACTGAAAAGAAACAAGCTTAATGAGTTGTTTTGACAGAGCTCTACTGGCCCATTAAGACAATTACGCGCCTCAGTTGAAGTGAGAAACTACCTGATTATAAACTTGCAGAGCGGTCACCAAAGGGTGGGTGTTAGGTTGTTCATAGTTTCTTTTTAATGTTTGAGAATTATTTCCTTTTCGGGGATAATTGGGTTAGCTCCTAAGGAGGCTGTTTTGAATGGTACATGGTCTTATCCATTCCCTTACATAAATGAAAAATCTGTCAGAGGGATATCTTTAAAGCTAAGGATTCTTTCATTTTCTTGACAAATTATCTCCTGAGACTGGTAGGTAATTGTAAAACCACAATGACAGAGATGGGAGAAGGCTGCTACTCTTCTTGTTTGAATTACTTTGCAGGTTCAGAAATAAAAGGCTGCAATTCTGATGTCTTTCCATTGTAACAGGAAAGGACAAGGTATTACCAAAATTGCTCATGTTCCCAAATTGGACTGAGAAATTATTGGTTGTCTTTCAGCAGATGTGAAAATATTCAGATCTCAGAATTTTAATCTACCTTTCACAGACATCAATGCTCATTTTCTGACTTTTAAATGATTTTGGAGCAAGACTTCATGCATGTTTGTGTGAATCTGATGAATGTGTGGACACGAAGAGGGTAGATTTTCTGTTTCTCGCCCAGACTGTGCTGATACGTAGAGCAAGTGGAAACATCCAAAGATACCCCACCCAATGATATGTGATTATATAGATTTTGTTTCTGTTTTTGAATGTGGCTCTGATGCTTTGAATGGTAAACTACCAGGATTTAGAGACTGTTTGGTTGTTAGCTAGAAAGACTGTATCAGACACACTCAGGGCATTCTTTTTTTCTATTGCAATTTAGGTTTTGGGGTACATGTGCAGAACATGCAAGATGGTTGCATAGGTTCACACATGACAGTGTGATTTGCTGCCTTCCTCCCCTTCAAGGTTACCCTTTCCAGCCCTGCTCCCTCTCCCACCCATCCCACTCAGATCTATCTAGTCACTGTAAGACTGATTCTTTTGCGAGGTTTATTGCCGAGTTAAAAATGAGGAAACTGAGGCCAGCACAAAAAGATTAAATGCCAATTTATTTGGCTCCCAGGCGAGGTTCTGTGGTCCCACGGAAAGAGGCCAGCGAAGTCACAACCCACTCCTCTGGGCGTGGGCTTTTATAGGGAGTGAAGGCATTTGATTGGCTGTGGAGAAGCAGGACGTGGACATGGCAAGCTGCTATAGGTAGGTAGGCGGGATTTCCGGACGGGGCAATGTGCTATTGGGCAGGTTTTGGCGAGGCTTTCCAAGGGCGGGCTAGGTGCCAGTGCAGAGGGGATTTCCAAGGCGAGCTAGATGATGGGCATATTCTGGTGATGTAATTTTCAGGCGGGGAGAGGGATGGGCGTGTCCAAGCTCCAGGCGAGGCAACCAGCCTTACAGTCAGAATCTCAAAGAATCTGTGTCTTTAATAAGCATTCTTGGGTGATTCTGAAGTTTTAACTGAGATGCTGATCACCACCTGAGGAGGTCTGGCCTGCAGACCCTGACTCAATGATGGATGAATGAATGCACTCTCACACCATCACAGTGATTCAAGTGGGCTAACGATGGTCATTGGCTACTTTCAGAGGGTGAAATGCAACCAATCAACCAAGACCCTCTGTTCATCCACACATTTATTCAGCCAAGATTTTACAACAGAGTTTCTAAGTCAACACACTTGTGGACTAATGATAAGAGCTTTAGGTTCTGGGCCCAGAGTACACACTATTCATGGGTAATTCCCCTTTGATCGCCCCCTGAGAGGACCCTCCAGCACAAAGTTTACATGAGTAAACAGAGTAGAGACAAAAGGATGTGGGGTAAACAGACTTAAACAGGGAAAGCCTCTTATCATCTCTATCTCTTTCCCATGCTAAATGTAAATGAGACAGCTGCATTCAGCCTGTCCCAATGGAACCTTTTGGCCTTCCAAAGGGTTTAAGATTACAATCTACAACTTTTCCTAATATTCTGCTAGCCACCACGAGTGAATCTCAGCATTGAACCAGTTTGGAGCTACTAAACTTTCCCAGTTTCTCTGTGTTATAGAAGAAGAAATGAGACTCAGCATGGTATAACCCTAGACTGTCAGAAAATGGTGCAGAGGTTTTCAGTGATGTGCTAAGGTCATGCAGCTCTTCGGCAACAGCCCTAATCTGTGGTCCTGATTAAGAGCTTTGCCTCGTCCCATGCCCTAGAGAAGGCTGAGGTCTCTGCTGCACCACACTGCAACTTCTCTCTCTGCCCTCTCCTGCTTTCTTCACTTCC